TTCTGTTTTCCATGTCTCCCATCCTCCTCCTGATTTTGTTAAGGTTGCACCCAGGTACACAAATTCGTTGACATCTTCAACAACTTCGCTATTGATGTAAATTCTGTCAACATTTCTTGCATTAATTCTCATTAATTTTTTCTTCTGGGAATTCACTTTTAGATCAACTCGTTGAGCTTCTGTAAAAAACCTGTCAGTTTTTTGTTGGATATGTTGTTTTGTGGATGCTATCAGCGCCAAATCATCTGCGAAATCCAAGTCATCCAACTTTGATGTAAACTTCCATCTAATTCCTGTTTCGCCATTTTGTACAGTCCTTCTCATTATCCAATCAACCACTATGAGGAACAAAAAACCTGACATATTGCAGCCTTGTTTTACTCCTGTTTTGATGTCAAACCATTCCGATGTTTCCCCTTGATGTATCACTGCACATTTGAAGTCATCATAAAAAGCTTTCACAAGACTGGTTAACTTTTCTGGTATTCCATACATTCTCATTATTCTCCAAAGGCTGTCTCGGTGCACAGAATCGAATGCTTTTTCGAAGTCAATGAAATTACCTATCGTAAGCAAAGTCCTGAGCCGAGTCATCATAGACAGAATAAAGAACGGAGTTGATAAAAGTCTCAGAAATGAGCAGGCTGGATTTCGGAAGGGAAGAGGCACAACAGAACAAATATTCTTTTTACGTAATATTATTAATACAGGTCAATGAATGGCAAGCAACACTAAATTTTAACAATTAATAACGGCATTTTAGTACAGCTCATAATGGATAAATTCACTCATTCACACAAACCCAGTTCAATATCAGTTTTAAATTATTTTCTGAGCGGGGGCTATGACCTGAATGTCATATCTTGTTTACTCTCTGTTAATTATGATAAAAATACTTTCTTCTTAAGTTTTTATGTTAATATTAATAATTATAATATTATCTCTCTGATAGATCCAAGAGTTGATGATTATTTCATGATGTCAAGTGCGTTGCCAAGCTGGATAATAGTGGGTTTATATCTACTGTTTGTATGGAGAGGCCCTATATGGATGGAAAAGAGGAAACCATTTGAAATAAATAATATCCTGATTGTATTTAACTTTTTCATGATAGGCGTGTCAGGATATGTTTTCTATGAGGTGAGTTATGTCTGAATTGAGGATTGTCTGAGCTAAGTTGTTTCCTGTAACTGGCTATTGAAAGTCACAAGAAAAAGTTTGGGGTAACAAAACTGATTTTAAAATTATACAACCTGAGTTTGTATTTTAACCAATGTTTAATTCCAAATTTTCACCAAAGAAATCACAAAGTCATTGTTAAATGGAACAATTTTCAGTACTCCATATATTTATTTGTTTTTGTTTATTTAATGGACCATTTACTTCGAGATCCCACGTTATGTGTGAAATCAAATGTAAAACAAGCAGCCTATCGGCTG